GATATATTGTTAGATGAATTATGGATTGACCTAAAACAACTGGAATTGTTTTAGGTCAATTGTGAACTTTGTTCTGAAAATATTGAAGGTTATAGAGATTGTAATTTTGAATAATATCATGCATATGAGAGTAACAATTGTGAAATAAATAGTCTTAAGGGGGAAACATCCTCCTGACCACGAGGCTGAGGGGAATAGTTTACAGAGCTTCTATGGTCAGCAGGTAGAAAACAAATGTTTTTAAAACAAGATTCTTAAACCCTTCTAAATTCTAATTGTTATTTCTAGTCTTGCATTTTATGAAGTCCTTTTTAGGCTGAATTTGTATGAGAGATAATTATAAAACCAGGTAGGAAAACCATTTAAATTTTACTAAACTTAGATTTTCTTATTTTAATTTATTGTGTATGCCAAGAAAAAAGGGCATTGTATGCAGTAACCTAAATTTTAGCTAGACTTTTGTATTTTTTTATTAGGGAGCTAATTTTGTACTTTTCCATTGTATTTGGAAAATTTTCCCCAATAACATGTTTTTTCAAGTTTTCAGTAACTTTAAGAAAAAATATTCTGTGCATTTTAAGGTATTTTTTAGAAAAGATATATGAAGTCTTTCTTCTTCCTTCTTAAGTCTGTTTCTTAGATACCGAAGCCCAGTTTTGAAACACGGGAATGAATAAAGCTATAGATCCTTTAAATATATTTGGTTTTGGTTTAGTTGTCCAGCCATAATTTTTAAAGCTGCTGGAAAAGACCTAACAGCACTTCCCAAATGTGAATGCTCTGTCACACTTCCCCAAAGCAAGCTATTTCAAACGAAATCTTCATTTTTCTGAAAGAATCATTTCTTTTTGTGTAGGAGTTAACCTTTTGTTATGTATTTAAGGCATTTTAAAAACTGTAAAACTGATTCTTGTTGAGAGAGAAATCTACATGGGTCATCAAGAAGGCTAAGGAGTTAAAATAATGGAGAAACTAAGGCAGCAGGACTGGTCTTGTTTATGGTTTTGTACTCTGATGGTATATTTCGTAGATGAATGGGAAACTGATAAGCCTTCAGATCAGAATTGGGAAATTGGTGCAAGGTCCAGCAAGGGTTAAAATATAAAAAGACAGGTCCAGTTTTCACCATCATCACTACCACCACCACCACCCTCAAAAGAAAAACAAAAACAAAAATAAAACTGGTACAGTTGCCTCTAAAACTTGGAGACCTTGTTTTCCTTCCTTTGTAAGTTATTTTTCCTGAGGCAATCAGTTTGTAAAAAAATAAAATAAACCTTTGAAAATGAGAGGGATGGAAGACTAAAGGGGCTTTTATGCTTATTTTGGGCATAGTAGGAAAGTGGGAGATTCTTTAAGTGATAATATATAAAGAAGAGTGGTAAGTAGAGACCTTGGGGAGGCAGGATTGACATGGGGCATGAAGGGCGGGGCATTGTCTGACAAGGACAGAAGATACCCTGCGGATACCCTGCTCCTATGAATGTAGGTAGACACCAGGTGTTTCTGACAGTCTATTTGGACAATAGGAATGCGCCTCCCCATCCCTATTATGTTCTGCTGAGTTAACTTCTCTGAATGATTTCTGCCTTTGGTACTTAAGATGATCTACTCTTTAGTTCATTATTATGTTTGTTTTTTTGTGAGAGGATTCTAATGGTCACTGCTGGCATGCAAGTGAACCCATTTGAGTATTTCTTTAGTTATACATGACAGTAGAGTCGATTTTGATAAAATTTATGCATGCATGGAATTACCTTACTCTGATTAGGGACCCAGTCTTGCAAATACACATGATGGTGGGGTTAACTGTAGTGTATTCATATATGTACATAGGAAGGTTATGTCAGATTCTTTCTACTGTCTTACCTATTCCTGTTGCCTCCCTTCCCTTCATTCCCCTTTGTCTAATCCAATGAACTTTTATTCCCGCCCCCTCCCTTGTTGTGGTTTAGCTTCCACATATCAAAGGAAATATTTGTCCTTTGGTATTTTGTGATTGGCTTATTTTACTTAGCATGATAGTCTCCAGATCCATCCATTTACTGGCAAAGGTCATAGTTATTCTTCTTTATGGTGAACATTCCATTGTGTATATATAACAAAATTTCTTTATGCATTCACCTGTTGATGGGCATCTAGGTTAGCTCCATAGCTTAGTTCTTATGAATTTTTGCTGCTATAAATATTAGTGTGGCTGCATCACTGTAGTATACGAATTTTAAGTCCTTTGGGTATAAACCAATGAGTGAGATAACTGGGTCAAATGGTGGTTCTATTCCATGTTTTCTGATGAATCTCCATACTGCTTTCCATATGGTTGTACCAATTTGCAGTCCCATCAGCAATGTATGACTGACTGTACCCTTTTCTCCATATCCTCACCAACATTTATTGTTACTTGTATTCTTGATAATTGCCATTCTGGTTGGAGTGAGTTGAAATCTCAGTGTAGTTTTAATTTGCATTTCTTTTAATTGCTAGAGATGTTGAACATTTTTTTTCATGTATTTGTTGACAGTTCATATTTCTTCTTTTGAGAAGTGTATTTAGTTCCTTTGCCCATTTATAGATTGGGTTATTATTTTTTGGGGGGTGTTTTTTGAGTTCTTTATATATCCTGGAGATTGATGATTTATCTGAGGTACAGGTGGCAGACATTTTCCCCCATTCTGTAGAGGGTCTCCATGCTCCTGATTGTTTCCTTTGCTATAAAGAAGCGTTTTAGTTTGATACCATCCCATTTATTGATTTTTTAATTTTACTTCTTGCACTTTAGGAATCTTGTTAAGGAAGTTGTTTCCTAAGCCTCCATGTTGGAGTGTTGGGCCTACGTTTCCTTCTAGTAGGTGCTGGGTTTCTGGCCTAATACCTAGGTCTTTGATCCACTTTGAGTTGAATTTTCTGCAGAGTGAGAGATAGCAGTTAAATTTCATTCTACTACATATGGATTCCCAGTTTTCCCAACTTTTGTTGAAGAGGCAATCTTTTCTCCAATGCATATTTTTGAAGCCTTTGTCTAGTATGAGTTAACTGTATTTATGTGAGTTTGTCTCTGTGTCTTCTATTCCGTTGGTCTTCTGCATGGATATTTCGAATGTTACTTTTAGTGGATTGATGGCCAGACATACTTAAGTATACTCAAGATTAGTTCCAGGACTTACCAGGGATACCAAAATCCAACCCTTATATAAATTGGGGTTATATTTGCATATAATCTATATATAAAATCCTACGTATTTAAAATTATCTATAGATTGCTTATACTAAATACAATGTAAATATGATATAAATAGTTGAGGGAATAATGACAAGATAAAAGTCTGTACATATACAGTACAGGTGCAGTTTTTTCCCCCAAGTAATTTCAATCCATGGTTGGTCAAATCCACAGATTTAAAATGCATAATGGGCATCCAGTAAGGTGGGAATTTACATGCTGGACATAATCAAAGATCAGAGGCGAAACAGGAAGGGATACTAGAGGTGGTGGTGAAGGTGGACACTTGGGTGCAGGTCAAAGAAGGTGTAAAGCAAAGTCACAATAATGCTAATGGATTGGGTGAAAATGAAGGGAGCTTGTGGCTAGATGTCATAATGAGAACATCATGGCCAGTTGGTTTAAAGCAAAAGGACAATAAGGAAGTTTGAAGTAGAGAAAAGGGGACATGGTTGTTCTGGAGAATTCCAGAAATTTTCAAGTGTAACTCTTTCAGAAAGTAGCTGAAATCTTAAATGATAAGGTCAGGACTGATGAAGAATCAGTAATATGATGGGGAAAATCCTGAAGATGATGATAAGGAAATTGTGTAAGAAGAAATAATATGTTAGGTTACTAGAATTTTTTAAAGAGTTAGAAATGTAGAGTGTAAAGTAGATGATGAGTGTAGGGAGAAGCTGATATATTATGTAAACTATTTATAAATGAGAGGTAAAGTGATGGTAGCAGTTAACTGGCCTTGTGTTTGCCCTGACAGACAAGAATAGACTGTCTCTTCTTCTTCGTTTGGTAAGAGGTAGAAAGAAGGTAAATAAAAAGACTATAGAAAAGATGAGATATTCTCTATCATAGGTCAGGTTTATATAGACAGTCTTTGAATATGAGAAGAGTAAAGCAGTAGATTGTTTCGGGTTGTAAAATGCAGCCCTCAAAAATAGTTGATTTGTGTGCAGTTGTATAAATATTTCACTTCCTCTATTTTTTCCTGAATTTTTATTTGGCACTAGTACTTTTTACTGTATAAAGTTCATTTTTTTTTGCAATAATGAAATTATTAATGGATAAATACTAAAAAAAAAACCTCTTTATTTAACTGTGAACATACACAAAAGTAACTTGGCACGTAATCTCTATTCAAAATATTAAAATTTTCTGGGTTAAGCTACCTGGTAACTAGTAGCTACGGATCACATGTGTATGATAGTGGCCTTTCCGTGACAACATTAATGTGAAGTCTGTATTGTACATGAAACTTTGTTATTTGGCATACAAAGAGGAACATAATGTATTCTAGCCTTAAATATATAATTTTTATTTTTCAATTATACCTCACTAAAGCTGAAAAAAAAACCAAGAACAAAGGAGTCACCAAGCCTCTGAAAGATGAAGAAAAAGCCCTAGGTAGTTGCTTTGTTATGTTTTTCTATATTAATGTGCAAGATAATTCTGATACATGGCATAATTGGGTAGTGTTTTCTGAAGGAAAAACTTTTTATGCTAAGAAAAAATATGGAAAGTAGCTAAAAGGTAAATTGCTAGAATTTTCTTTCACTATATTACTTGCTATGCTTATAAAGGCCTCTTTATTTTGCCTGAAGTATTAAGACTATTTCCTGATACATGAAATCTTAAAGTACCTAAAACTTCCTTTTAAATAATTTTCAATAAATAACCTTTGGGAAGAATTATAAAGATAAACTTCTGTTGAATCATAAGAAGATAATGCCTTAATTATGTCATTTACTTTAATTTTTTTTTTTTGTTGCTGTGTTTTTCTCAGTTCCTATTGCAAAGAACATAGGAAAAACACAGTCTTCTTCCAAAGCGGCCCAGCAGTCAATGCAGCCTCCACAGAAAACTGCTATAGTACAACCAACGCAGCAGGTCAAGAAATCAGGTCGAACTAAATCACCTGGACATACTTCAGTCTCCAAGAAGGGCAGTTCTCTTAAAAATCCCACACCAAAGAAAAAAGGCTCAGGAAAAAAGGTTAGTTGTATCTCCTGCTAATTTGTATTATAGGTCTCTGTAGTACCTTTTTATTTATAATACACAGTTTGGGAACTTACTAAGAATATGATGAAGCTCCTGAGCAATAAACTGAGGCTACATAAGGCTCTTTAAGGCCTTACATAGCTATTGAGAAATTGGTCTTTCTTATCTTGGGTAAATTTGAAACTTTTTATAATATTTTACTAATCAAATCATTTTGCAAGTAACTGCATGGGTATATTTATGTTTGGGCCAGTTAATTAAAACGTAGTATACATTAAAATTAATATAAAGTGCATTTTACTGTAGATAAATTCAACCTCAGTAAACTGGTAGGAAGAAAGGGGATGTTTCAGGGTGATAAATTTAGTAATACTGGAGTTAAGTTCTACCTGATTACCCCAAAGAAAACATCTCTAAAACCTGAAAATAATAGAAAAAAGCAACTATGTAAAGACACTGGAGAGTTAATAGAAGCCTATACATTCTGATGGCAGGGGGCGCACTAACGTAGGAGGAGGACTGTTATACAAAATGAGTTTCTTTCTTCTTCTTCTTCTTCTTCTTTTTTTTTTAGTTTATAGGCTTGATTTAGGTGCACTTTGTACTTTGTGTAACATGTTAGGCAGCGCTGATGGTAGAAAATCCAGTTTATTTGGCCTGGGGAGACCAGAAGACAAAAGCTAGGAAAACTGGTTGCCAAAGAGCATGGACGGATATTGTAATGGAACAAGCTCAAGAGCAGATCCTTAAACTTTACCAGCATCTCTGACAAACCCCTGTTCCAAGCATGTGTGGGTCATACAGAGGCCACCTTAGCTAAAGCAAAAAATTTGCACTGAGGCTAGAGTTAGGCGCAAGACCAGAGTTTAAAATTCAATTCCAACAAAGATAATTACCAGCTAAAGCAAAAAAAAATTAAAAATAAAAATAATAATAATAATAACACTCGTCAGAAAAGAATAAAATCCAGAATCTGCACAAATTAACATTCATAGTGTCTGGTATACAATCCAAAATTAACCAGATTCAAAGACATACTATAGTGAAAACATTTGCAAGAGAAAAGAAAATCAACTGAGACAGACATCAGTATGACCCAAATGTTGGAACTTGGAAACAAGAATTTAAAATTGGGACTAAGGGGCTAGTTGGTGGCACATGCCTATAATCCCAACAGCTCAAGAGGCTGAGGCAGAAGGAGTGCAGGTTTTAAGCCAGTTTCAGCAATGTAGCAGGCTGTAAGCAACCTACTGAGACCTGTCTCAAAATAAAAAAAAAAGGGATGGGGATGTTGCTTAGTGGTTAAGCACCCTTGTATTCAATCCTTGGTACTAAAAATAAAACTGGGACCAAGGGGAGGGAATGAGGTGTGTGGGGGGTGTCTGTTCATCAGCTTTTCATTACTGTACCCAAAATACCTGACAAGAAAAACTTAGAGGAGGAAAATTTTATTTGGGGCTCATGGTTCTCTCCAAGGTTAACTAACTCCATTGCTCTGGGCCCAAGATGATGGTAAAAGGGCATGGCAGAGGAAAGCTCCTCAGCTCATGACAGCCAAGAAACAGAACAAATGAGTGAGGAGCCAGGGACAAAATATTATTCCTGAGGGGCATGTCCCAAGTGACCTACTTCCTTCATCCATGTCCCATCTGCCTAGTGACCACCCAGTAATCCATTTAAATTATTAATTCTTCAAAGAGATTATTAATGTGCTGGTGAGATTATTGGTGTCGGAATCTAATGATTTTAACTGAATGTTACTGCATTGCCTAACTTGAGCTTTTTGGGCGGATATCTCTTGTCTAAATTTTAACAAGAGGTACTAGGGAATTAAATTGGCCAAACTGTTATGTGCTTTTGCAAATAATAGTGAATTTCACTATTATTCATAATCATAATGCACCAATAAAATCTTTCAAATACTTTAAAAATGGCAATTTTAAAGCTGTCCTTGATAGATTTTAACATACATACTCTCTCTCTCTCTCTCACACACACACACACACACACACACACACACACACACACACAATTGCAGTGATTGAAAACATAGGCCACCTCCGCAGAGAAACGGAAAGAACATAAAGGAGCCAAATGAAAGTTTCAGGATCTGAAAATTCAATATCTAAAGTAAAAAGTTCAGAGACAGAAGTAACTAGAATTTATTAGATGTGACAGAAGAAAGAGTAAATGAACTGAAGAATAGAATAGAAATTATTTAATATGAAGAACTGAAACAAAATTTAAAAGATTGAGAAAGAAAACGGAGCCCTGGGGACCTTTTAGGTAACGTCAAAGGTGTAGCCCATATATAGTTGGAGCTCCAGGATGGGGAGGGAGACAGACAGACTGACTGCCCAGAGGAGAAAAAATATTGAAAAAAATCTCAAAATTTCACAGAAATATACAGCCATAAAAATCTCAACCAAGAATAAACAATAAAAATGAAGTCTACACCAAAGCATATAATAACTGTTGAAACCCACAGAGAGCAAGTCTTTTTTGTGTATGTGGTGTTGGGACTCAAACCTCGGGCCTTACACTTGCTAGACAAGTGCTATGCCACTGAATTTTGTCTCCAACTCCAAATAACAAATTGTAAAGGCAGCAATGTAAAAATGAAAAAATACATGCAAAGAAACAAAAATTTGAACATCTGGCATTCTTCATCAAACACCATGGAAGCCCAGAAATTCTCTGTCAGAAATACTCTTCAAGGATGAAGGTAAACTTTGAATATACACAATTTTTATTTGTCAGTAAAGCAAAAGAGTCTTATAGTTGTACAGTTTTCTTTATATAATTCATACACATTTAGTTTATTCATGTCTATTTCTGCATATTTTTATGATTTTTGTTGCTATTGTGAAAAATATTTTTCTCATTATACTTTCCTATGAAACAAAGGCTATAAAAATATTGGTTTTAAAAAAGGATGAAGACTGGGTGCACGCCTATAATCCCAGTGGCTTGAGAGGCTGATGAGAAGGATACGGAGTTCAAAGCCAGCCTCAGTAAAAGTTTAGGCACTAAGCAACTCAGTGAGACCCTGTCTCTAAATAAAATACAAAAAAACAGGGCTGGGGATGTGGCTCTGTGGGCTACTGCCCCTGAATTCAATCCCTGGTACCCATCCTCATCCTCCCACCCGCCCCCTCCCCCCCAAAAAAAAAGGATGAAGGGGCTGGGGATGGGGTTGTTGCTCATTATAGAATACTTCCCTGGTACGTGTGAGGCACTAAGTTCAATCCTCAGCACCACATATGTCTATCTGTAACCAAATATTTTTTTTTTTTAAAAAAAGCACGAAGGGATTGGGTTATGGTTCAGTGGTGGAGCACTTGCCTAGCACTTGTGAGGCATTAGGTGGTCCTCATCACCATATAAAATTAAATAAATGAATGGTATCATGTCCATGTACAACTAAAAAAATATTTAAAAAGATGAAGGTGAACTAAAGACATTTTCAGACAAAAGAATACTAAGAAAATTCATCACTGGCAAAGTAGCAGTATTAGAAATGCTAAAAGGAAGTTCAGCAGGCTGAAGGAAAATGAGACCAGATAGAAAACCCAGATCCTTAAAAAGGAATGAGTAGCTTTGAAAATGGTAATCTCTGGGTGAATGTGAATATTATTTTTTGTTTTTTACCCCTTCCTAATTTCTTTATAATTATATAATTATGACAATAATTATAGTCCTTTTCTGTTTATATCACGCATAGGTATATACTACATAAAATAATTGTGATATAAACCCCTGAGGTGAGAGATATAGACAAAGTGGAATTCTGAGCAGTCACATAATCCCACAAAAGACAGGAAAGGAAGAACAAAAGGACAAGTCAAAGGAGACAAGTAGAAAACAAATAATAAAATAGTAGACCCAGACCGAAATGTAATAATAATTTTATTAAATTTGAACATCTGTAATTAAGAGATTTTCAAAATGGGTTATTTATTTTGCTGTACTAGTTGTTGAATCCAGGACCTTGCACATCCTAGGCAAGCGTTCTACCACTGAGCTGCATCTTTATTGCTTTATTTTAATGTTTATTTTTGAGATAGGGTCTCACTAAAGGTTACCCAGTCCAGCTTTGAACTTGCGATGTGCCTGCCTCAGCCCCCCAAGTAGCTGGAATTACAGACTTGTACAACCATGTCCAGCCTCAAGATGGATGTTTCTGGAAGACTCAAATATATCCTGTGTAAAGATGAACTCTAAATATAAATAAAAGCTCTATTGAGGCTGAGTATTTCAGCAGCATTCCTTAGACATTTTGGCATTTTTGTTTTGTTTCAACTAATATTTGTTGTATGGAACAAAATGGCAGTATCATCTTTATGTTAAGGTGTTTATATTGATATTTGTATTTTTATTTGAAAATCAAAGTTTATAAAATAAAAATCAAAAGTCACTAAAACTAAATATTATGTTCTCCATTATTACCTTTTCTAGGCACACAAATCCCTTTTCTGATATCAGAGAATAGTGTTTGAAAGTAGTTCCTAGAACCCTGGAAGTTGATGTAAAAGAAACAGAATACTAATCATGTTTAATAGTGCTCAGGAAACTGATTACTATATGCAATAGGCATAATTTTGTATGGACTTAAGCAAACCATTTGTAATTTTGTCAAAATTATTGACATATAAAGTATGGAGAAATGTAGACTAGACACAATGGGGGTAAGCAACTGCTTTCTAAGGTTTTGTGCCTTGCTGAAAACTTTTCCTATGGGAAGGATATTTTAATCAGCCTTTTCGCTACTGTGACTAAAAGACCAGAACAATTGTAGAGGTGGAAAAGTTATTTGGGGGCTCATGGTTTTTGAGGTCTCAATCCATAGATGGCTGGTTACATTCCTTGAGGCTCATAGCAGAAGAGTGTGGCAGAAGGAAGCAGCTCACTCACGTGATGATCAGGAAGCAGAGAGACTTCACTTGCCAGATTCAAAATATATACCCCCAAAGCCATGCATACCCTGGATGCCCACCTATCCAGCCACACCCTACCCATGTTCAATTACACTCAGTTAATCCCCACCAGGAGATTAATTCACTGATTGGGTAAAGGATTGGTAAATAACCCAATCATTTCTCTGAACCTTCTTTGCATTGTCTCACACATGAGCTTTTGGGGCACACCTCACAATCAAACCATAACAAAAGAGATTTAGAGACTTTTCTTTCAGAGTATTAAAAAACTTGTCTTACAGGGCACCTTAAAAAATAAACAGGTTTTACAGAGTGAACTAATTTGACTAAGGTATGTTAAGTTGGAGCAGAGGGTAGGGTGGAGAATCCTAGCCTCTTGTTCTCTTTGCCCCTGACCTGGACAGCTTGTGGGTCTCTGGGGAACTTAGTTTTAGAAAGCACTGCAGTTCATGATACACAGAAGGGTATCCAATCTTGAGGACTTCTGATAACTGATAATTTTGTGAGCCTATAGTTTTCTTTCTGTTATCTAGTAATTTGTAAAAGAATAATTTATATTTTGTATATATATTTTTTAATACAGGAGAAATGTATTCCTGTGTTGTGTTCAACATCTTCAGCTTCTCTAAGTTCTCTGTTCAGAGACCGTGGTAGTTCATATGATAAGGATGCCATTCCTGGGACATCTAAAATAGTGATGTCTACAGGTAAATTAAAATTTTTAAATGAGTTATAAAATTACCTTTTATTCTGTATTATTTCCAATGTCTTTGAAGTCCTGGAAATAAGAAGAAGACTGTTCACATGTATGGAAATTGTGCTATATACATTAATGGGTTAAAAATAATCTACTTCTTGGGCTGGGGTTGTAGCTCATTGGTAGAGTGCTTGCCTAACGTGAGACACTGGGTTCGATCCTCAGTACCACACAAAAATAAAATAAAGGTATTGTGTCCATCTACAACTAAAAATATATATAAAAAAAATCTACTTCCTGATTTAGGAGGACAATAGGTTTTGTTTTTTTTTTTTAATATTTTTTAGTTGTAGGGGCTGGGATTGTGGCTCAGTGGTAGAATGCTTGCCTCGAATGTGTGAGGCACTGGGTTCGATCCTTAGCACCACATAAGAATAAATAAATAAATAATAAAGGTATTATGTCCATCTACAATTTAAAAATATTTTTAAAAAATACTCCTTATGTAGTGCTGAGGAACGAACCCAGTGCCTCACTCGTGTTAGGCGAGTGCTCTACCACTGAACCACAATCTCAGCCCCAGGACAATAGTTTTTTTTTTTTTTTTTTTAATATTTATTCTTAAGTTTAGATGGACACAGTATCCTTATTTTACATTTATGTGGTGCTAAGGCTCGAACCCAGTGCCTCATGCATGCTAGGTGAGCGCTCTACCACTGAGCTACATCCCCAGCCCCAGGACAATAGTTTTGATAATGAGCTACCATCATGTTTTTACAGAATATGTTGACTCATTTTTTATTCTCATAAAAATTATTGAAACTTGAAATTTGTATGATTATAGATTACTTATATATCCTGTTTTTATTATACTAAGGAAAGTTTATTTTAAATTATTTTTCAGCCAACCTTGTCTCATATAAAGGAATGTTTTGTTTTTTTAATTAACAAAATAAATTTCTCTTTGTCATTAGAACTTATTGTGACATATTCCTTACATTATTTATTTATTTATTATTATACATATTCCTTACATTACTTCAGAAAATACAATTGAAGTGCAATGTTGATAATTTAAAATAAATTCAGTCTGAAAGGGATGTGTTCAAAATAATCAGTTTTGTAAAGAAATTCTTAAATTTTATGTGAAATTACAATAGAAAAATATCTTTTTGTGGTGCTGGGGACTGAACTCAGGGCCTTATGCATGCTAGACAAGCACTCTACCAACTGAGCTATAACCCTAGCCCTCGCCTTTTTTTTTTTTTAAACACCAGGGATTGAAATCAAGTTCACTCCACCACTGAGCCACATCCCCAGCCCTGTTTTGTATTTTATTTCGAGTCAGGGTCTCACTGAGTTGCATAGCACCTCGCTATTGCTGAGGCTGGCTTTGAACTCACGATCCTTCTGCCTCAGCCTCCCAAGCTCTGGGATTACAGGCGTGTGCCACCATGCCCAGCCAATAGAAAAATATTATCTTTGTACCATTTTATATAATATAGGAATGTATGAAGAATTGTTTTTGGATGCTCCTAACATTTTTATTAATTTGGGCAAACTTCTAAATTGAGTAAATATTCTGATTATTTTTTATATGTTTAATGCCTACACAAATTATTTATGTATTTTACTAGAAAAGATCATTGATATTAACTCTATTTAAGTTCTCTTTGAAGTGACTCATGGGATATAGTAATTATGTACTGTTTTTACAAAGTTCTTTCTAATAATCAGTCTCATTGTTTTATCTGTATACACATTTCCCCTCAAGTCTGTGTCTATATAAACAAACATGGAAACTGTGGTCCACACCTGGATCCGAAGAGAATCCAGCAGCTACCTGACCACTTTGGCCCAGGCCCTGTAAATGTGGTGCTCCGTCGGACTGTGCAGGCCTGTGTGGATTGTGCCTTTCAGTCTAAGACTGTTTTTGGACATCTTAAGCCAGATAATCGTGGAGGAGAAGTGATAACTGGTATACTAATTTAATTCTTTATTTACAGTTTCTTTTCCAAATTTAATTTTGTTTAGAGACTAGGATTTTGTAACAGACTATTTATAATATTTATATTCTATTATACTATGTAATTATTACACTGATATAATGGAATATGTGTAATGATTATATATTTATAGGCTTCTTACTGTGGTTTGGAAAGTTTACTTTCAAAATACAAACAATGTCACAGTGATACTTGGTAAAAGATAAAGATTTTTCCTTTTATATGTCTGTGTTGATAAGTTCCCTACAAACCGAGTGTCTTGATTGATGACAGTATCTTAGTTGTAATTTGTATGGAAAACAGTTTGATCTGTCATAAAGAAGCTTTAAACAAAAATATGACTCAAGAACTCATGAAGAGAAAAGATACAGCTTGTGGTTTCCATGATTGTTTGATCAGATACCACAACAGATAGCATGGAATGTTTGGAATAGAAGGAAGTGTTGTTGTAGATCAAAATATTTGTTTTTATTTACTTTATGAATATTTTAAAATAAGATTTTTTTTACTAATGCAGGCTGTTGTGTTTGAGAGAAACTTTCATAACTTATAATTATTCCTTTATGAATTGATAAAACTTTCGAATTAATAGTATATTTCCTAAGTTGATAGGAAATGACTGACATCTTTTTTCCCCCTCTAATAAATAGCCTCTTTTGATGGGGAAACTCATTCCATTCAGCTTCCTCCTGTGAATAGTGCATCATTTGCTCTTCGCTTTCTTGAGACTTTCTGCCACAGCCTGCAGTGTGATAACCTTTTGAGCAGCCAGCCTTTCAGCTCCTATAAAAGTAATATTCATAGCCCTACAGAGCTTGATAAAGATAAATCAGGTGAGAGAAAATAATGTAAATTTTTATACTAGTATTTTATATGGTATGCTTAACTTAAGCAAGTGTGTAATTCAGTTTTTTTGGTCTCCTCAAACATTTTAGTCAAAAACAAGCTAATTAGAAATGTATAATATATAGTTATTTTTGTTCATTAAATGTGAGAAAGTAATTCCTTTTGATGTGAACTTAAGAATCAGAGTCAATGGGTTTTAATGTTTAGCTTCTTTGGTTACACATTTTCTATTAGATTGAAGTTATTGACTTTAATCCTAAGAAACTATAGAACCAACCTAGGTGCCTTTCAACAGAGGAATGAATAAAGAAAATGTGGTATATATACACAATGAAATATTATTCATCCATAAAGAAGAATGACTTTATGACTTTTGCTGTTATGTGGATGACTCTGGAGACTATCATGCTAAGGGAAATAAGCCAATCCCAAACAACCAAAGGTTGAATGTTCTTTCTAACATATGGGTGCTAGCACACAACAAGGGGAGTGGAGAGGAAGAATAGATATTCAGTGGAGTAGATAAAGGGGAATAAAAGGAAGGGAGTGGGGATAGGAATAAGAAAGAGTGGGATGAATCTGATATAACTTTCCTATGTACATACATGAATATACCACTGTGAATCTCCACATATGTACATCCATAAGACTAGAATCCTAATTAGAATAAGATATATTCCATGTTTGTATAAATAGGTCAAAATTGACTCTGCTGTCATGTTTAACTAAAATGAACAAATAAAAGGATTTTTTTTAAAAAAAAAGAATGATCTTGGTCTGGGGATGTGGCTCAAGCGGTAGCGTGCTCGCGTGGCATGTGCAGGGCTCTGGGTTCAATCCTCAGCACCACATAAAAATAAAAAATAAAGTTGTTGTGTCCACCGAAAACTAAAAAATAAATACTAAAAAAATTCTCTCTCAAAAAAAAAAAAAAAAAGAACAATCTGCTTGAATTTAACATTTGAGCCTGGGCTGCCTCTCTCTCTTCCATAAGAATCACAAACTGATTCCTGAATAAGAACATGGCTGTAAAGTAGTCCTTTAGTCTCAGAGGCAGGTTTTCTGTTTCTGATCCCTAAAGTAATTAAGCTCTTCTGGGCTGGGGTGGTAGCACAGTGGTAGAGTGCTTACCTAGCATGTGTGAGACACTGGGTTTGATCCTTAGCACCACATTAAAAATAAATAAATAAATAAAAATAAAAGGCCCATAAACAACTAAAAAAAAAGAGAGAGAGAAAAAGCCCTTCTGAGCCTTTTGGCAACTGTTCTTTTTTCTTTTTCATCGGACTCATGAAAGCCAACCATGCTCTGCTGATTTGAGAAGGATTTTATGTATGTCTTCTAAGAGCAGCTGAAGTTCTCAAGTATTGAAGCTACAAGGTTTTCCAACCAGGTGCTGGAAATTCGGGGAATATAGAGTACCATACCAGGGATTTAAATTTGCATTCCATTTGTGTGTGAAGCTTGGGTGCTGTCTTAAGTTACTCTTCTATTTTTGGTCCTACTGGTTATTCACACTTTGTTCATAAACCTTGTCTTCTTCTACTTCAGTGAAGTCTGTCATATCTGTTCCTTCCTTTCCATTTATTTGTCTCTATCCTCCTTCAGAACCCTGTTAAACCCCTTCTGCATTATTAAAGCAGTATCCTAATGGAAGTCCTATTTCCAGTTTCTTGCCACTTATGTAACTGCCCAATGAATTCCTTGAAATAAATATATGATACTGCAAAGTCCTAGCAGAAGTACACCTGGTGAAATGGAAATTGGAAAAGGCACAAGTATTGGAATTTGACAGATCTAGATTCCATTACTTACACTATAATGTATGTCCTGAAAGGGCATACAATTTGACAGGCCTAAATTTTAATCTTAAATTGTGCTGTTAATTAGCCATGTGCTCATGGACAAAGTATGTATGGAGCCTCTATTTTCTAAGCCTCTATTTCCCTGTCTGCAAAGTGGATACCTCTTAAGTTGTGAGAGAAAGGATATGTGAACTCTTAGCCTGTGTTATATGACATGGGGATAGGAACAATAAAATGTAGCTGCCAAGAAGAAGAATGAAGGTTCATGATCTCATGTGAGCTCATCCTTTCTTCTTCCAAGGAGTTAAGAGAACTGGAAAGATGGCCAGAAAGGGAATGATTACCTGATAGGTTTTCTGATTCGAAGAGTAATTTGGGACAGAAAAAAACCTTGAGTTAGAGGAGTTGTGAGTACCATTTTCTTGGGGCTGGGGCTGTAGCTCAGTGGCAGAGTGCTTATCTAGCACGTGTGAGGAAATGGGTCGGATCCTTAACATCACATAAAAATCAACAAATAAAATAAAGGCATACTATTCATCTACAATTACCAAAAAAAAATGAGTACTATTTCATGATTTTTTTTTACACAGAGCGTTAAAAACAATGGCAATGATTTACACACTGAAAGATTTTTGAAAATTCTTTGATAGATTGTAAATAGAGTATGTTTTTTTCTTTTAAAATTAAGCACAGAATGTTTGAATTTCAGATTACTCAGATAACTGGGATAAGCTGGAAATGGTGATGTATGTCTGTAATCCCAGCAACTCGGAAAACCGAGGCAGGAGGATTACAAATTCATGGCCAGCCTCAGCAATTTAGTGTGAAGCTCTAAGGACTTACTAAGACCCTGTCTCAAAATAACACACAGAAAAGTTGGAGATGTGGCTCAGTGGTTAAGCAACCCTGAGTTCAATCCCTGGGACAATTAGATTACTATTTGACAGAATACACTAAGTAATCATAAATAATACTGTTTTGTTTTATATAATTTTTTCTTAGATGGACACAATACTTTCATTGATTTATTTTTATGTGGTGCTGAGGATCAAACCCAGTGCCTCACAAGTTCGAGGCAAGTGCTCTACCACTGAGCTATAATCCCAGACCAAATAATACTATTTTTAATTATTTAATCTCAATTTCCTTTCACAGAAAGCTTGATTCAGCTATTTGAAAAAGAACTTGAACAACACCTTTGTTAGTTTTTCTAATTAGCTTGCAATTAAAGAAGTTGAATACATTATATTGTAAATTTGATTTGTTTTTTTCCTAAGATTTCATGTATAATATTCCATTTATCTTACATTTTCTGAATAGGTGACTCAAAAATATTTTGGAAGGAAATACTCTTCTTAGGAGATATTATTTTGACAAATCCCGTGTTTGCATATTTTAGTAAAGTCATTTTAAAGACATTTTACTATGAAATGTCTGGAGAAAAATTACAGATGGAGGAAGGGGCTGGGGCTCAGTGGTAGCACTTGCCTGGCATGTGTGAGGCACTGGGTTCAATTCTCAGTACCATATATAAATAAATAAAATGAAGGTCTATCAACAACTAAAAACTATATTCAAAAAAAATTACAGATGAAATATAGCTTAATGTTCACAAAGTGAAGAATACATTGATAAAGGACCCTCTCGGTTCAATTCCTAGTACCAAAAAAAAAAAAAAAGCGGGGGGTGGGGATTGCTTACTTGATACTTGTACTAATTATGTCTATTCGTATTTCCTCTTTTTTTCTTGAGTCAAGTTTGGTAGTTTCTGTTTTTTGAAATTTGTCCATATCACCTACATCATCTTATTTGTTGGCATACAGTTGTTCATGGTATTTCCTTATGTATATTTTTATTTCCGTAAAGTTTATAATGATGTCTTCACTTTCATTTCTGATTTTTATAATTTTGAGTCTTCAGTTTTAATCTGTTCGTCAGTATAGCTAAAACCTTGTCAGTCTTGATCTTTTTCAAAAAATCAACTTTTGATTTCATTGATTATTTTTTCACTCTTTCTCTGCTCTTTATTAATCTTCCCTTTTCTGCTTTAATTTAGTTTGCTCTTGATTTCTAGTTTTTTAAGGTGAAAGGCTTAGATTAAGACTTGAGCTCTTTCATCTGTTGTAATATGGTTATTTATAAATTTCCCTCTTAGCACAAATTTAGCTATATTCTATCAATTTTGATGTTGTTTTTGTTTTCATTTATCTTTAAAGTATTTTTCTAATTTTATTTTTGATTAATTTTTTGACTTAATTGCTTACTTAGAAATATTTGTTTAATTTCTACGTATTTGTAAGTTTTCCACATTTCTTTTTATTACTGATTTCAGTTGTTTCCATTGTGGTTAGAGAATATACTTTGTATAATTTCAGTATTTATAAATTTGTTAGGACTTGTTTTATGGCCCAGCATATGTATTCCCTATCATGCTTTAAAATGTTCCAGGTACACTTTAGAAGAATGTGTATTCTGCTCTATTTGGTTAGTAGTTTTTTTTTTTTTTTTAAGTATCAGGTCTAATTGGTTTATACTCCTTGGTCTTCATATCCTAGGACTCTCAATTGCTCCCCTCTGGGTAATGGAAGGAGGTAAAAGGAGGGGTGAATTGAATTATCCTCAGTACACAAGATCCAGACCAGAATTGGGCCAGTTTAGCGTAGTTGGCCCTTGTACATACCCAGTGTAGTCTACCTGGGACTTGCCATTTGATTTCTATGGCAGCATTGTCCCAGGCCTGTTTGAGGTTAGAGAAATTTGACATTGGGGGTGAGGATTCCGTTCTGTGATTTGAGGATCCCCACCACTGGTTTTTCTGGGTAGTTACGTTATAGAATTTTTGACCCAGACATGTTCCAACTGAGATGTTAAACTGTTTTCTCTTTCAGGCAAGATGATATTTTCCAATAATTGAGATTTTGGAACCAAACACCAGTATTTGAATGGGGAGACATTGTTCCATTATAGGGCTCATGGGGGTCTGATTCTTTAGCCTCCCCTGACCATTGACAGCATCCCCCCATGCCAATATTAGTTCCTCCACACACATAGCAAGAAGAGACATTCGGACATTGAATTATAGTCTCTGCCAAGGTTAGGAATAGGTTTCTGGTTGTAGTGGAGATACGAGGTGGGCTTTTTTCCTAATTTCTCATAAAAGAAATGAGGACTGGAGTTATGGC